GGGGGAAGGAGGGACAATATACTCAAAGTTAATGAAGTGAAGGAGAGAATCAAGAAGAACAGTGGGCTGAGGCGGGCTTTTTTTTCCGGGCTTGCAATGATGAGGGGAAGAGACGAAGAAGGAGAGAGAGAGAGAGAGAGAGAGAGAGAGAGACGAAGGAGCGAGGCACTGACGACAGCGGGCAGGCAGGGGGGGGGGATAACTATGTGCATAACCGATGATTAAGAAGCTAGCTAAATACCTAATTAAAGTAGTTTACTTACCTAGTAGTTTACTACATCAGTCAATACGTAACTCGACTCGACTACTTTGCTCCTACACAATAGCCAATCTACAGGCAAAATCTTGAATCGATTGATTTGAGTAACTTGACATATACTTAAGAATAAAGAATCGGAATTATATGCCTACTGCTCACTGCTCTGTTCTTATCCTACTCATCAACAACTCACTTGAGTGTTCGTCTATTTAGTAATACTTCTCCATTCTTAGCCGTCCGCCACAATTTAGCCGGGTGGGAACGTGGTCTACTAAGTTACTGGTGCCATGGCATTTATCATCATTATGCAATGACCTCAACGTGCAAGCCAATATGTATATAGAAGTAAACAAGCCTCTTGGCTTGTCTTTGCTCAGATCAGTCCTTCCTGCTCCCAAATGACTCCTTCCGCCCCGTGTCTGACCTGGGTAGCATCTGGGGTAGGTACATACGGTACTGTACATGTACAGTAAGTTAGAGAGGACTCGACTTGACTCGACTCAATTCGAATGACTTAGTATCTACGGAGTACGGAGTACCTAGTATAAGTTACTAGGCCCATAAGTGGTATAGCCTAGGTTGCGCAGCGAGTCAGACCTCATTCCAACCCCTGAAGCCAAACCGTTTTCAACACATCATCTCATCATTCGCAACGGCTAAACTACCCGGCAGTCGTTCCTTGCAAGTTTAATTTCCCTCTCTTGGACTCGAAGTCACTACCTACGCCCGTACAGTACTTGATTCAGCCAGTATTTGCTCCAACTTACTACACTATGGTTCACATCCACACTGCGAAACCCCTTAGACTGAACAACCTCAACAATCAAACCCCCCACCCCCCACCCCCTTCGCTCCCCTGCCCTGACCAAAATCAATTTGAAACTGCTATTTGCTTCCCACCTAATTCGCCACATATACAATTGTGGCCAATGGTTTCCACATCATACCATCATTGTCTTTTGCGGCACTGATTGTATGACAATCGCATCTTTCCGAGTCACATACTCGGTCGTCAAGACCGCCAGCGAATATCGAAATCTGGAGCAACTAATGAACGTGCTGGAGCTAGGGCGAGGTATCTCGTCCGTTGATTTATATACCAATCGTGGGTAGTGAAAGTGGCCCACGATCAGGGGCACTGTCCCTCAGCACCCCGATATCTTGTCCGCTAGTCTAGTGTCTAATGGTTCAAATATTCTCTTGCCACCAGGGAAGAGAGTGCAGGTGGTTCACTGCCCGTTGGCTGATACACAGCGCTGGATCAACATCGTCCAGCCCTTCTTCGCCTTGAAACGCAAGAGCCACCAGGCCAAAGTAGGAGTGTAGAAGGTCTGTAGGGCGGTAACGGGTGAGTGGGAAAAGCCGATTAAGAAACTTTGCACAGAGCAAACTCACCAGGTGGTTCCCCAACGCCTTTCCCAAATCCCCCAATGATGTGCTGCGTCTTGTCCAAGAGATATTGGCGGTTCCGATCCGCGTCGACCAGCGCTAGCCGGTCCATCATCTGGGCGCAATAATCAAATCAGATAACGCCCATTGAGTATTAAGACACAGGGTTTCTCACAGCCAGAGTCGCCAGATTCCAGAAAGAATAACATGTGTCGGCGTTCTTGTTGCATCGGCCATTAAAGCCGGCCCATCGCAATGACTCCTCTGTTGGCGGGAAAAGGGCAGGGAGTTCATCCACCTCTGTTTCAGGGTTGACAACCTGGCTTGCCGCTACTGGTAATGGTTTCTGACCCTCACTAGTCTCACACTTTTCGTCGTCCTCATCAGACTCTTCCTCTATTTCACCAAGCTCGGCCGTCTGTCGGGAGATCAACCAACGGACCAAGGACTCGAACTCCATCGCACCAGGTGAGAGAACTGCTGGCAGGGGATGATTCCTCTCCATTCGACTTAGAAAGGACAAAGCGCCCATCGCGCAATAGGTATGGCCGGCTACAACCCGGTCAGTCGGGTAGTCGATATCAAGGAGATATTGAGAGATTCAAACGTACAGTGAGCTTCGCAAAATGGTGCTTCTCCCATGCCACCGTCATAAGCCTGAAAGTACCATGTAATTAGCAAGCGCATTAAATTGTGGTAAGGTATGTGTGGACTGTGCGGTTAGAGGATCGCAAATGTATGTCGGAGCCCTAACCTGACAAGCCTGAACGAAGGCTGCCATCTTGGATACATCGATATCACTCAACCCCTGTATGTCTGTGCCACCAAGTCCCCGTAGGATATACCTCGTCCCTGCCGCGCAGCAGCAGAAACGCAAGTCCCCACCTCCCTCGATCTTGCCTCCAGGCCCTAACACTTCGCCGAAACTGCCGTTCTCGCGCTGCAGCCGAGGGAGCCATTGCAGACATTCTATGCGCTTCACCCGTGATAGATCATCGCCCAGGATAACCAAGATGACAAGCGCAAAGAACGTGGACGGCACATTGGCTGGATCCCAAGCTTCATTCAGTGGCGATCGAGAGACCACCCCAAAATCTGTCCCCGTGAAACCTCGAAAGCCCCCTGTAGGCACCTGGCAGTGATAGATCCAGTCGATATACCCTTGTCGCTCTTCGGAGGTGGTCTTGTCTTGGAGTACGCCTAAAAGGTCGAGGCCGGCAACAGTGAAGAAGGCGAGAAGCATGCGATTGGAGTCATTGGATGTGTAGGGTTCTGGAAGAAACGTTTTGAGGCAACGGAGGAAGTACTTGACGTGACGTTCCCTGTTGAAAGTGATCTCAGTCATGTTGTCAGTCTTGGTCGGTCCACGAACCTTCCTGGGTTCGGGTGCGGGGAGTTCGGTTAAGGATCCTCGGAGGTGGACATTCAGAACCTGCAGTAGCTAGAGAATAAAATAGAAGTAGAACAACAGACAGTATTCAAAGACAATTTGAAGGTCTCTTTCCATCGACTCGATGATCTCGCATACGCACGGCTGACCCCATAACGGACTGCTTTCTTCCTCGACTGATCCGTCGGCGAGCGGAACTTCGATTCAGGGCGGCCCCACATCCGGCGGACGAATTCCCCGTGCTCCTGTCGACGAAACATACAACTACGTGTGTACAATACAGCAATCACACACCCCAGTATGTCAGGAGGTAATCCACTCCATCGTTCACACCATTGACAACCTCTACCACGCCCACTTGAATGTGCTCCCGATCACAATAGCCTGCCATGGGCTTCATGTCCTCCAAATTCCTCATACAGGCGCATGCCTTTTTGCTAGTCTTCCTAGCCATCCATTTGATGAGGTCACCAGCAGTTATCACAGACTCCGACGTCGTATTCATGCTAGGAGAGCTCCTGCAATTGGTAGTTACATCATTGCCCCTACAAGCCCCCCGAGTCTGAAGAACATGTAGTTGCTAATGAATTCTCTTTACCTCTGCTGGCTAGGATGCATCTCCATCGTTCTCCCGTCCTCAATCCCCCTTTGCCCTGTGCGGCATCCTTCTGATCGTCGATGCCCTGGTCGACTACATCCTTGTTTCCAAAATCCCGCAGACCAATGAAGTCCTCGCAATGGCTGAGGCTGCACGGTCTCAGGCTCCGAGCTCTGTGGCAGGGGCTATGCGCGCGAACCCCTTCATGGCTCGGCTCGGCTCGCTCTACTCGGAAGTCTGGACGTTCCTTTCCGCCACACGCTTTTGTGTCTTCTTCGCCGTCTCATTTTTCATCTACCAAAGTCAGCCGTCTGCGAGCGGTATCATGGAGGGCTCAGGGGCTGCGTCTGCATTGGCACAGCTTAAGAACCGGGCAATTTTCACATTCGGGTTTATGGAGATGATGTTCTGGCTCTGGGTGGGTTTTTCCCTCCCCTTCTCTATATTTCCTTCTCCTGCTGCGGAACTAAGTGCTGGCTTTGAGGGCGTCTTCCCTGTGATTTGTACGAGACTTGCACTGCACGTATGAGACTGATAAATCGTGCTAGATATTCGTTACTATCCGGGAGGAGAAACAAGCAGTGGCTTCACGGTTTGTAGAGCGTGATCAATAGCTTTTCTATCTTTGGCACATACAAGGCACTGCTAGGAATGTAAGTGCCTCGTGGCAGCAAAACATGCTCGAGTTCGCACCCCACATATCACAATGGTTGATGGTCTCCTTCGGGCTGCGCCAAACGGATTCATTTCTCAGAACTTGAAAGTCCAATGTGAGACTAGGATTGAAGCAGGTATCACATCGAGAAGATGGCCGCGGGGGAACATGACAAAGTCATCCCGCCAAGCCTTCATCCGAGATTGTTATGTCAATGTACGTACATTATCCCTAGGCAAGAAATGCAAGGAGAGCCATGCCGACGGCCGCAAAGATACTGGCGTCAGCATACGGCGAGAGCGGGACACCGCCACCCGTGGCAGTAGGGCTACTCCCAGTGTTTGTATCGACAGAGGTCACTGGCTGGGTGTTCCCCGATGTAGACTGGGTCTTCGTGCCTGTGAAGGTGGTAGTGGCAGAAACAGTGCTGTTGCCGGAGGAATTGACGGGAGAAGTGGGGGTAGAGGCGCTGGTGGCATTTGTCGAAGTGACCGAGTTGGCACAGCTCGCACTGCTAGGCAGATCTGTCACACCAGCACCGTCGCAAAGCTGTACTGCGAATCCGAGAGCAGCTGGGAGGGTGTCAAGGTTCGTTAGCGAGTGATTTATCATCCGGTGTGATGTTCCAAGAGTATGTGAATCCTACGTATCAGATGGGAAAGAAGTGCAATGTACCTTTTTCGTCCTGAGGTGAGCAGGATTTGGCAACGCAGCAGGACATATCGCTGATGAAAGATTTGGTGCCGCAGATACAGCCAACGTCAATAGACTGACAGGTCTTGGGGATAGCGCCAGTAGCACATTCTCTCTTGACTCAGTACATAATGTTAGGGGGCGTTTAGACAGCGGCCAACATGAAACCGGATGTCACGACGGCTCTAAAGGATCTTGCACTTACAGCACATGCTGGGAGACTGTCCATGCCTTGAGCCACAACCGAGATCAGGCCGGCGAGGAATGTGATAGCTATGTAGTAGAACTTCATTTCTGGATCGCAAGTGCGTAATGCTGACGACGCGGGGATTAGCTTCCAAAAGGGATATCAGAAGAAGGTCGCAGGCCGAAGAGATGAAGGATTGATTGAGGAGAAGAAAGAGGATGAAGAGGGAGCCAGGATTCCAGTAACACCAGAAGAAGCGAAGGAAGAAAAGCTACGTAGGGCCGCGGGCGCTCATGCTCCTTACTTCTGAAACCTGTGAATAACTAGGCTTTGTAATATTGCTAATAAGTAACCACAAATTTCAGGACAGAGTTTAATTATTCAACTGTTATACTACTGTTATCCTCTCTACACCAGATTGTTACACTGTCTAACATTATCATCACAAGAGATCACAAGAGAAGATAATGACTCGACACTGTGCCTTTAGACACTACATTGGAAGCCGTTGTCTAAACAATCCAAGTGTAAGCAGTAAGCACAGCTTAGGGCCGAAGAGAAAAGGATGGAATAACAGGTGCTTGACATCTGCATCCATGGAACTTGCTCTGGTATGCATAAATGACTAACCATTACTTCTGCTAATACTAACTAATAAGTTACTAACTAATTCTAATACTAAGTTAATACTAGTGCTAGTAGTACTACAACTACCACCACTACCCCACCTTATCTACGGAGCTTTTTTGACAGCTGTACTGGCAATATACACTTGCAGTAGAGTACAGTGCATAGGAGAGATAGTACGTACCAGTCACCTGGGTTGGACCAAGTGTGTGCCTGGTTCCACTCTGCCCGCGCTAATCTTTAGAGCTCCAATCTTAAAATTTCCCCCACACCTCCGCGTTCCCCGTGTGTCCCGCAGTCAAGTTACATTAGTACAGTGCATACTTACAGCTAGTGAGGGACCAACCACTTACTGGAGGAAGCAAGGGGCTTAATAGGAGCGCAAGAGGTTTCCCCAAGAGAAACCAATTGCTGTAGATGGTTCTCACCAGCAACACACACCTATCTGTCCTTGAGAACGGAATATTATGCGGAGTGTACTTATTGTAATTGGTGTACTGTACTGCACATTATAATGATACTACGTTCCATGAGATCAGACCAAATGCATGTGAAGTAAGCAAAAGATTAAACTTCCTATGATTGACACCGGGGCATAGCTGCGGTAGAAGAATGTTGGGAACTGCAATGGCATTTTTGTCACCAGCAAACAGCAATATTACAAGCTATGGAACTGTCCCTGGCCCTCTTTCTGTTCTTCGGCTGAATCAGTTTCCCACCAACTCACAGACCATTGATCCCAGCTTCTGCTGACCTGTTAACCAGTGGATCCCTTGCAAGGCTCATGATGTTCACGGTTCCTTTCTCTCATGCCTCGTCCCCTGTAGAGACAAAACGACGAGTAACAGTACACGGAGATATCATTTCCACACCTAAAGACTTACATTTACTTGTCACCATCCTACGTCCCACCTTGACAGAGTCGACAACCATATTTTAGGCTGCTAGTCACTGCATATCTCTCTCTGGAATATCCATCTGGCTTCAGAATCCATTGAACAGCTCAACCCTTTTCAGTCACAATGGGACTAGGAGTTTTAGATACAACGGATGTGCATGTGCCAGGTAGGAAACTGTGCTTGTTGCATCGACGACATAGATGAGACTGAAGGACTTCGAGCAGGAACATCAGAAATCCTTCAAACGCGGTGCTCCTATGATGGTCAACTACCTGATCCTAGACTGAAGTATGACCGCACATCTTCGATACCAATACTTCTTGTTCCACAACCCAGCGATGATCCCAACGATCCATTGGTGCGTATAGGCAGCAAGAAGAAAAGTTTCAAGATTGGGGTGGCATCGACTAATACAACATGGCATAGAATTGGCTACTGTGGAAGCGCGATTGCATCCTGCTCGCTCTCTGCTTTGTCTCCGTCCTGTGCGCAACGACAAGTTCACTAATGGCGGCCAATACTGTAACCATTGCCCTATACTTTGGAAAGAATTTTACATCGGTCGCCCTTCTTACAGGATACCATCTTTGCGGTGTGGGGGTTGCAGGGATCCTCATCGTGCCTACCGCACGCGTCTGGGGCAAGCGCCATCTGTTTCTATTGGGAAATATTCTAATGGCGGCGAGCTGTGCCTGGGCAGGGGCCAGTAAGCATAATTACCAAAACCTTCTCTGGGCGCGGATCTTTCAAGGTGTTGCGCTGGCACCCTTCGAAGCTTTGGTCAATGCTAGTGTCGGGGACCTATTCTACGTTCATGTGAGTTTCTCCTCATTGTTGTTATGTCTGATCGATGTCGAGTCCGGCGCTCATGAGATGAATTCTTAGGAGCGGGGCAAGAGGATGGCACTGTCCAACGTTGCCTTGTTCGGGGCTGCTTTCCTCACACCTGTCCTAGCTGGCAAAATCACCCATAGTCTGGGCTGGGAGTGGACATTCTATCTGGTGTCGATTTTCACGGCGGCAGCACTTGCTCTTACCTTTTTTTGCGTCCCTGAAACTGCATTTCGGCGCCCGAGCGAGCTGGGCATGGAAACAGTCTATGTACATGGCCGCCGCTCGGAGACTGTTGAAAGCCCGCTACCACAAGTCGGGCCTGCCGGCGATGATGCTATCCGAGTGCGTCGCGAGGTAGGCGGACCAGTGCAACATGCACATTCTACCACAGGAAGTCATAGAAGAGGTTCCACGTCCAAAGAAATACCTCGAGATGTTTCAGCTGAGACTGAGCCCCCCGCCAAGGTTCCCTATCTGCAGACTCTCAAACCCTTCAATGGCCGGAAAACCGACGAAAGCTTCTACAAGCTTCTTCTGCGTCCATTTCCCCTATTTTTCCACCCAGCCATTCTCTGGGTAAGCTGTCACCTGCAAGAAACGAGATCATTTTAGCAGCTTCCTGACCTCCAAGATTCTATAGGCATGTCTGATCCAGGGCGTCATTATCGGATGGACTGTCTTCATTGGAGTGGTCCTGGCGGCCATCTTCCTCGGGCCTCCACTGTGGTTTAACGAAGTGCAGACGGGTTATCTCTACACTGGTGCATTTATTGGATCGCTTCTCGGCCTGGTGATCTCGGGTCTATTGTCCGATTGGATGAACCAGGTTATGATCAAATTCAACCGAGGACGATACGAACCCGAGTTCCGGATCCTCCTGGTCATCTTCCAGCTGATATTCAGCGGGGCCGGGCTGTTTGGCTTCGGCCTCGTTGCTGAGGATATTTCAAGCTACGGCTGGCTCGTAGCGGACGCCTTTTTCGCGTTAGTCATCATTGGGATGGTGATGGGCGCGGTGTCCAGCGCCCTGTACATTGTGGATGCACATCGTGAGTGAAGCTATGTACCAGTGGTCTGAGTCAACTCTTAACGAATAATAACAGGAAACATTGCAATTGAATCGTTCACCTGCATGTTGGTGTTCAAGAACCTGTTCAGTTTTGTGCTGACTTTTTTTGCCTACAATTGGTTATTAACGAATGGGATCCGGCCAGCGTTCGTGGCGATTGGCAGCATTCAAATGGCTATTTGTGCTCTCAGTGTTCCTATGTGTAGGTTGCCTTGTCTGCTGTCTGCTACCAATGATGTTGAGATCGAGCCATTGTTGACTGGAAGGTAGATGTGTTTGGCAAGTGGAACCGCTCTTTCTTTCACCAACACGATATACTGAAGATCTTGCATCTGTGGTAATCTCATGAAACGGCGCGACTTGCCTCGGGACGGACACGGTACAGGTCTTGTCATTCTCAACTCATAATAGCACATTAGGAGACAAATTGCCTCCAGCAATTAGACCAGCAGGAAAAACCTGACACTCCGAAGACAGCGCCAGCGCCAGACAGAAAGAAAGCATGTAATTGCTCAATGAGTCGATCACAACGCCCGTCCATAAAAGAATCCAAAATTGCAAATACGATAAGTCGGTCGTGAGAATCATAATTGTCGTTGGCATCCAGAATCATGTGCTCCTTCCATGCGCCTTGGCTGAACAAAAATCAATAATTCGATGCAAAAACTGTGTCTGACGCGATGACCGCGATGGTCGCAACCTGTAGCACCAAATCACCATCAGTTTGTTCTGCGCGTGCTCAGCCAGTTGGGAGCAAGCTAACGTACCAAAGCCAAATCCACCCCGGGAGTCACAATGACATCCAACACAGGCCTGTAGCCCACGCGCGAGGCTGGCATCAAGGCCAGCTTTTCGTTATGGCGGATACTTTCCCTCACTTCCGCGATCTTACGATCCCCATCAACGATGTCGAACAGCGCGAGGACATTCCCATGCCGCTGTACCTCTAGGGTCAGTACCCGTTCCTCAGGCTGCTTGCCGTCAACGGCGGCGACGTTATCAAAGGTGATGGTGAAGTTTCCCCCGCGCGTGGTCGAGCCAAAGGAAGCGGCCGATCGGCGACTTGCCCGACGCCGCGAACCCGTAGCCAGTGGAGAGTAGGTTTTATCCTTGAGGGACGAGCCCGGGAGCGTGACGGACCAATTGTTGCGGAAAGAGAGGCGTCGGTGCAGCTCAAACAGCGGAAGCCCCGAGGCATCGCGGAATTCGCGGCAAGGACGGTGCGAGAACTTGCGGCCGGTGGCGGTGAAGAGGGTGATTCCATCAAGGTCTTCGATCTTGTACGCCACGGCAGATTGGGCATCGCCTTGGGGGCGCACGACGAGAGTGGTCTTAGTATCGGTGATTTGATCTGCACGAATCGCAATAGGCCGGCCAGGGGCTTTTAGTACTCTACGTATTTGGAGGCTTGAGCTCGAAGTTGAAGAAGAAGAGGAAGAGGAAGCCGAGGAGAGAAGGGAGAACAACGGGAGCAAGGCCTGTTGCTGATGTTGTTGTCGGCGGCGGTGAGAGAGAAACCAGAACATGGTGTGGAGCGGAGGAGGAGGAGGGGAAGGAGGAGGATGGGGAAGAGAGAACTGGTAGCAGTAAAGCCCGGGGTGTTTTTCTTTTGATCTTCGGTTATTACTACTACTAGTAAATATAGGAGGAGGAAGAGGATGAGGAAGAGGAAGAGGCCGAGGAAGCAACTGAAGGGAAGAAGAAGGCAGGAGGGGCTTAGCGAATGACTGCTCTGGGTGTAAGAGCGAGAATGCAAGTGTGCGGGGGGAGGGAGAGGGAGGGAGAGAGAGGATAAAAGATTAATCGACAATCCTAATGAGAGAGAGGGGGTGGATACGAGAAACAAGGTGAGATTTATAAATTTGCTTGGTCTAGCTAGATGGGGATAGTCTAGCAACAAACTAAAGAAAGAAGTGGCCTTATCATCTACAATAACAATAAGGACAAAGAATAACAGGGCTTGGAAAGAGCATGATGCCATGCCATTGCGGGCTGGGATGGCCTTAACTTGTCTAAATTAATCCCGCTATAGCCCCATCCCGAGGCTGAGCAGGGAGGAAGAAAGAGAGAGGTAGGTATGAAAATCAGATTTACCAAAAGAAGAGGAAAAGAGTGAGAAAATGAATTCAACACCCTCGACTTTCTCCTTTTTCTTTTTGTTCCTTTTTTTTTAGTTTATTTTTTCGGCGCGCCCTGTCTTACTCCAGAAATCGGGCGCCAGGTGAATTACATCCACGTACTGGAGCTAGAACTTGTCAATTATAGTTAGTACCAAGTTAGATAAGTTGAGAAGTCAACTGGTAAGGCTGAAGGAGCTGCAGGAGGAAGGGAACTTGGAAGAACTGACACATACTCTCCGTGTCGGTAGTAATTAAAACTCAGTGGTTCTCGGTAACTACCTTACATGCAAACGGACACAGTATGAGTGGTAAGTGTAGCTGTAAGCTGTAAGCTGTAGGTGTGTAACACTCTTCATGATGACATCAGCTCCGGGAAAGCTGATGTCACTTTTTCTCACCTTGGTCCTTTTAGTTACCCTCTTACCCATTTACACTCTCTTCTCCATATCCACGGATGGGCCCGGCGCATACGTTCCATACTTTCTGAAGACTGACTGATGCTGGGTTACAGTCGATCCTCCATGATCATCGTCATTACCCATGATGTTCTTCCCCCTCCTTCCGAAAGAGCTTCCCTTCTTCTCTTACTCACACACTCTTCTTTTTTTCTTTTCTGAAACTTTATTCTTCTCTTCCCCTCTATCTTTCTCCCTCAAAACTCTCTCCCTCTCTCCCCCTCTCCCTCTTCCTTTTTTTCCTGGCGATACTTCTCACCAAGTAATGTCTTGTTCGGCTGCCCCACGACGGTCGTTATCTTATCATGGCCACTGTTGAACGACCTACTTCTACCACTACCACCACGCTACCGCGTTCCCGCTCCGTGCGTCTGGCGGGTCAAGGTAAGATCGGCGCACCCGATCGCCCTGCTTAATGTTCCTCTTGCATCAGATTATCATGCCCCAGCATTTCGTAATAATAATAGTGATAACTATTGTGGTAATGAAACAACTAATTCCTTCCCAGCTGCCACGGCTGCCCTGTATGTGACCCATCCGGAGCGCAGACTATCGGTGCGTGAGCCTTCCACCGCTGAAACAGAACGCTTGAGTGAGTAACTCTGATCTTGCAAATTGATCGTATCTTCCTCACTAACGCATACACCTCACTACCTTAGCCTTGAAAGCGACTGGTTCTCGCCCTGGCTTCAGCCATGCGTCAGCTGTCGCCGCCCTCGCCCATGCCAGAAAGGAAGCGGCCGCGATTCCGGTCGTTGAGCATCAGCGAACCTCGGATTCTCCGAGCCAGGAAGGTTATAAGGCAGCCGCCTATGTCTTTGGGAACCGTCGTTCACCCTCGACGCGCTCTCCCACTTCCTTTGATTTGAAGCAAGACCTGGTCGCAGCAGATTCAACCGCTGGGCGTGTTTTAGATGATCGAGAGAAAGCCCTTCGTGCCGCCACCGGTGCGTTGAGCGGCAGCCGGAGGCGAGCCGACTCGGCACCTTTTGATGTCCCCCACGCAGGAATGAGCACCGATGAGGCCCTTGGAGATCTTGACAGCTCCATGGAGGCAAGCCGGATCCAACATATCGCTAACACGAACGCGCGTCTCTACACTGCATCCCCGCCGGTCTCTCCAGAGCGGGAGGAACACAAGCGGAGAAGTGTTATGCAAGCTGCTGCTCTGTCCATGGCCCGGGAGATGTATGCCGCGGTAGAGGCCAAGCAGCAAGGTCAGGTAGGCCATGCTCGAACAAGATCACAGCGTTCACCCACTGGCGCGGAGCCCATAGTCCTCCAACAGGCCTTCAGTCTGCAAGATGCCGCCGAAAAACGCGCGGCTGAAAAGCTGGCCAGCATGCAGGATGAGACAGCCATCTACCGGGAATATTATGGTCTTGAGCCTCAGCCCACCCGGTCCAGCTTGCAACCCCGCAGACGCAGAGCCTCAATTGACACGGATATCTCCAGTGGGGATGCTGATCGAACATTGGAGATCCGGCACCAAATGTCCAGTCTTCGATCAAAGCTCAATGCCGTAGACGAAAGAAGGGAACAGGACCGTGCACTCTTGATGGAAGCGGCAAGGAAGAACGTCGATGCCACCATTCAAAACATGGAGATGAGGGTTTATGCGGAAACCGGTCGCGCACCCCCGTCCATGCAGAAGGAGATTGAAGAGGCTGCACTAGCACGTGCCATGCTAGAAAGGCAGGAGAGGCAGGAAGCAGACTCGCAATACCAAGGGGTTGACCGAGTGAACATCAGTTCCAAACGCTTTGTGGACATGTCCGATGTAGAAGCGCTGGCTCGATCTCGGCTACAACCCACTTTCGACGAAATCACCGACCGAGCCGAGAATCAACGCGCAAGAGAGCTGGAGCAAAGACTGGACCAGGAAGAAGCCCAGCGTCGAGAAGCCATGTACCGCGAACGCGAAGCAGAGACCAAAGCTGAAGAGAAACGTCTACGAGGTAAGTATTTGTCTGAAAGGAGTCTCGCACCGCTACAAGGTCCCTAACTCGCTATAGACTCTTTGAGACTTGAGAACAGGTCTAAAGATGAAAAGAGCTGGCTATGGAAAAGAAAATCGAAGCGCTTCTCCGACCATGAGCAAGATATGGCTGCTAGCGCTTCAGGAGGAGTGGTCGATGAAGCATTCACTGAATCTGCACCACAAACAACCGCCAATGATGATGTCAATGCGACTGTTACTAGCGCAGTAGCCGAGCCCACTTCTAGCGAGCCTGTGACCAAACCAGAATCTAAGTTCAGGTCGTGGTTCAAAGGTCGCATGGGGCGTCGCACAAGCTCGAACCAGGCTGAAAGCCCTAGAGAGTCGAAGGAAGCTAAAGTAGGCACTGACGTGCCACAAACAGCAAATGTCGCAGGAGAAACAGGACTCGAAGAAACACCTGGGCCATCAGGCGCAAGCGAAGCCAAAGAAATCAAGGCTTCGAGCACATCCGAGCCACCGCAACCTACTGAAGGTGGTCAAGGAAGAGCATGGGACATTGCTCATCCAGAGGGTATATCTCCTGAGATGCCAGAGCTTCCAGCCACGGTTGAAGCACCCAAAGAAGGGGTTTTGGGCGAGGAACCACAAAAAGCGTCGCTTCAGTCCCACCCCATGACGGCAAATTCCATCAATGATGGCAGTGCAGAGCAACCTCGTCGTATCGATGAGGATGCAGTCCAACAAGCTTCTAGTGCCAAAGACGTGCCGTCTGATGAGACCAGTCGTAACCGATTGATGTCTGGCTTCAAGAAGATGGTCTCGAGAAGCTCAACCGAGGCGAAGACTGGTGGGGCTGTCAAGCATGACGTCGCCCGAAGAAGCTCGGAGGCAATCCCAAAGCATACTGTAGAGGGAGCAGACCGACGGGCAAGTGTGCCTGAACATGGCCAAGTTCTACCCTCATCGGCTGGGAATCGAACCAGCGATGGCACGGGCCGAGAATCGCGCTTTTCCGAGAAATTGTAGAATGAAGCTGGGTGCCTGCCGCCCTGTGGGCGTTTTGTCTGGTTCCTATACCTTAATCTGAGAGGACCACAACTCAATCTTGTAGTCAACCTCTATTAGTTAGTTCTGTCACTAATCCTGTTTTATGGTTCATGGTTCATGGTTCATGGTTCAAGGTTATTGTTTATGGGTTTTCTTTTTTTTTTTTTTTCTCTTTTGTCGTGTCCGTTTTCTTTAGGTTTTTATAAAGTGTTGGGAAGGCGCAGTTTCTATTTTATTTTTGTCTAAAAGGGTACAAGGATCCTGGGTACAGTACAATCAATCTAATGCCAGATAAGCCTGGAGGACTACAAGTCGATAAGTGATATTTTATAGTTGTATGTAATGTAGTAGTGTTCGTGTCTAATGATCATAAAGAAGAGTGTGAGGCTGAGACTAGGCCTAAAGAGCAACTGGTCGGTTTCACATTCCACCGATCCACTCCCGCTCCCATCCATCTCTCCTTCACGCTTCCCCATCTCCTCATCCCCTGGCATGCTCGGCATGATTGCATGCATTATCGTATATGGTTTAGATTAGTCTCCACGGCCACAGACATATACTTCCGAATTCTGATCAACAATCTTCCCGTCTAAGCGATGGTCATAGCCCACCTCCGCCAGTCGAGTATTGACCTCGACTCGGCTGACCGACCATTTGACAATATCATCAACTTTCGGGATGTTGGCCGAACCGTCAACCAGGTGCTCGGTCGACGGTATGTACAGCACAACGACGCCTACAACGCATTGCTAAGAATTCCTGCACAGGGTAATCAAAGAGGGTCTTCTCTTCCGAAGTGCCAGGGTACAGTACCTATCCCTGTCTATCATTCCAAATTTCACTCCCGCCAGAGTACTGTATGATCCAGCTACTCGATCCAAGGAGAACCACTCCAGACCACCTCAGTGGAACTAAAATCACCTCTTTCTCCATATAATCTAGCTAGACGAAGCCTCCGAGCGTGACAAGCGTCGTCTGACTGAAGAGTACCATATCTCCACCATTATTGACCTTCGATCCAGGTGGGTGTACAGTACACGCTGTCGCGTAGCTTCACCCCTCCCAGAAGGCGTCTGAGACACAGATACATGGTGCCCAGGAACTAAAACCCTTGGATCCCAGCACCGAACACCACATGGCCGCCACGAAACGCCTTTCTGAGTTGGAGATCGCCCGTGCTTCCTGCAATCGGTCTAGCGACCATGTCAACCCCACCACTGCAACTGCATCTCCCACGTCTCCTCCTCCCACGACCTGGTCCTCCTCCAGCCCAGATGACATCCACCTCGTTGACCTCCCACATGTCCAACGTAGGCTGGTCAGTCTCACCGGCAGAGCTTTTGAGCGAGCTTTACTCTGGCGCCTTGATTGGTGGAACTTCCTGTAATTTTCTCCCCCCCCCTTCCCGCCATCTCTTCCCTCCTCTCTTCCTGGGCCCCCCTTCTCCTTCCTTCTCTTGAAGTCGGGAAACCTCTTGACAGGTCCTGGCCCCCCAATACCCACCACATAAACAGGAAAAGAAAGAACGGAAGAGGGGGGAACTCACAGGCGGCAGCAAACCAGGCGGAGTGCAGACTAACCAGTCTTCCTCACTAAGAAAAGTCATTGCGCTTGCAGCATCCGGCTACCGAGCCGACGCTGTCATTATCGTGGGTCAACAGGTCATGTCTCCACGCGGCCTCATCGGGCTCGGCATCGATACCCTCGATAGTAGCTTCAGCGAGATGAGAGAGCTTTTCGAATTGCTTGCCGGTAGCGAGACACAGGCTAGCTCGGAATTAAGCACAACCGACAGTAGCACGGATTCTTCGTCTGCCGCCTCACCCTACCCTGTTCTCGTCCACTGTACTCAGGGTAAAGACCGCACGGGGTTGATCATTCTTCTCCTTCTGCTTCTGACGGGTGCTGTAACCCAAGAAGCCATCCGGGCCGACTATGTTCTCTCCGAGGGAGAGTTGGTCGTCGAGGTGGAGGAGCGGATGAAAGAGATCCGGATGCTAGGGCTGTCAGAGGACTATACCAAATGTCCCGATGGGTTCACTGCACAGATCTGTGCGCATCTGGAGACTAAGTATGGGGGTGTGGAGGGATATCTAAAACAGGTGGGGGTGGACCAACTAGACCTGGAGCGAGTCAGGAAAAACCTACTCGCATGATACATCTTAGGCTAGGTTCAGCATGATAGAATAAAACCCCTATGGGTAGAATATAGACAACTCACTACAAAACCACAATTGGGAAGCAACTAAGGACAACAATTGAAACATGGCATATACGCAATGATAATCTGATATCGTGTAAAAACTGGTAAGTCATCATGTGTTCCAGATGCAAGAATTAGGCAGGAATGACATCCAAGATGATCACACCAGACTCAAGAAGACAGAATAATCAGGGTCAAGAGATATGCCAAAAAAAAAAAAAAACTAAACTCCACCTGCTCAAAACAAATCCACAGGGTATCATGACATTATGGTCTCGTCTCACATGTGTATATATATATATATATATGTGCACTGAAGGTTATCGAACTCTCCAAGGTGGAAGGAATCGAACGATTATCTAATAAATCCGTTGACCGCGATAGTAGTTGGCATTGGGTCCGGCCGAGTCGGTGGTGACGGGTACTTCTTCAGTCCCTTGGTCGCTGCTGGTGCTGACATGGGCGTGCCCGTTCCGGCCCAACTCGATGCGCTTCTCGCCTTGCGGCACGTGTTTTCGGGTGCGAACCGAAGGCAACAAGTCAACCACAAAGGACAGGACATAGAACGTAAAAATTAAAGCGATCACTGTAATTCAGGTACCGTCTGTCAGTTACCCCGTTCAATTCAGCACGAACACTACCATATGACCTACCCCATTCTAAAACCGCAGCGGCATTGCGATAATGTCCGCCCTTATTTCCCAAGACGCCGAACGCAATGGCCAGCGCAATCTCGATAATGACGAAGGAGAGCTTGATGATGAAACTGGCCAGGAGGACACGATGCTGGGAGCGGTAGAAGATCCCTAGCCGCCAGTATTCGCAGCAGATGAGGATTGCGCTGATGAGGTAGCCCGCCCTGGCAAATGGTAAGGCGAAATGCGTTAGCAACTTCTGGCTTCTTTCCAATACGCGCTTCTTTAACCGGCCGTGTTCCAACAGTGCCATGTGCTGCGCTTTGCTGATACGTTGAATAGGACTTACAAGAACATCACCAGAAACCCGTCATGCATATGCGGATGCCGCAACGTATCGAAGATTGATAGCAGAATCAAACCCAGCGCACCGGCGATCGAGAAGCAGATGGAGGCAATCGCACAGCTTTTATCGAACAGACCCTTGTTGGGTACCAGCTGCCCTGCGTGACGAAGCCATCGTTCGGAGAGAAAGGAGAGGTCGAGAAAGGCGACAGTCACGCAGCTCCCTGCAATGAAAAGGGGCTTGAGGCCCTGAGCACCAATGTCGGAGATATATCTATAAAATGTCCAATAGTCCCGTTAGTTCGTGGACTGGGGGCTGAAAACTGGAGATCTGGAGATCGATGCTCGTGTGGTTTGTCTTGACGACGGTCACAGGGTATAGACTCACGCGATTGTTTGACCGGTTTCCATACTGGCGTATATAGGGCTACCTTCTCGAGCCCAGGTTGCCAACATGGCAATCAGCATAGCTGAATTAAGCGACCAATTAGTTAGCGATCGTGCCTGAATATTGCGGTGGGTTAAGATGAGCTGCGTACCAACCCAGGTGCATGCTGAAATGACCGGAAAGACCCAAAATGAGATGATCCACATGGTCAGGTATGTAACAAATACTTGCGTCGCGATCGATGCGCCGTAAGAATCCTTGTAGGAAACTGTTGTTCGTTCGTTTCCCGTTTTCTACGAGGAATAATGACTTGAGGCCGTCTTAATGATGTGATGAGTAGTACAGTACTGGAATTAGGACAGTACGTACACCTTGGGAGCGTTCAAGCGTTCAAGCAATCGGATGGAACGGAAGGGGCGGAAGTGGCTTAAGCCTGCCGATGCAGTACCAAGCTTCGAACCTGGGAGCAGGCCTTGGATGAAATTAGTCAGATTAGGGTAGGGGATTTTGGAATGAACAAACACAAGAGGCGACGAAGATTGAAGGGAAAGAGGGATAGAGGGGAGGAGGGTAGGGGAAGGAGGTGATTATCAATAATCAATTGCTCAGGCAGGAAACAGATCCATGACGACGACGAGAAGGAAGAGAGACCCACTGAGCAGCATTACTCGTAGCTAAGGTTACTTAGTCGGCTAGTAACATCTCACTCAGCATTAACATCATCTTCATCATCATCACTCCGCAGGGCTTCGTCGACGTCATCGTCGCAATTTTCGTCTTCCCCCTCCGGCAAATCTTTCCATGTTCAAGCTTAGCTCAAGCTTAGCAAGTCTCTTCAGCTCCGATTTGTTTATCCTCGATAGGCCTCCATTTTTTCCCCTTTCTCTATTCCTCTTTATTTTCTTTCTTGGGTCAGATGATTACATTCGAAGGCAGCCCGCTCATTTACTATACTTACGCACAAATACTCCATATATATATTCATATCCATATTCATATGCTGACTCTAAACATACTTCCTAGGCTAGTCGTGAACCAGTTACGTTGGTACTTCTTCCTTGTTTGATCCACCCCGCCAAATAAGTTACCACGTATCCACGTACCTGCTAGGATCTTCGCATCGCACGGTGACAATGACAATTGCTTTTGAGTCGGATAGCTAAAGGACACTCTAACAACATATTTCCAGGACGCGCTTCATAGGTTACAGGCACAAGCATACGGAGCTTCAGGGACGACTGCCGCGATGATAACTTCCTCTCCAAACTGGCATCCGCGTTGGCATGCCAAGCGGCACTCGCCGCTCCAACACGTCTACCATGTGCACTTCATCGCTACTGTCCTCCAACCCACTGCTTCGATTTCCGGCATCCTCTCGGGGGTATTGCTCCGTCACTCTCCCCGGCCACCCTTGATTCATAGTCGCACTCCGTGCGCCGTTAGGACGATCGTCAAAAATATTCCGATAGCTAGACATCGAGGTCTTTTCTGAATGGTCGACCGAGTCGCGTCGAGGATCTAGCGGATACAACGGAGATTCTATAGGATTAAGGGGCCGACGGGAGGGTACCCATTGGGTATCGTCGTGGAGAGGACGCGTGAGGGCCGGCCTCCGCATGGAGCCAGGATTGCGAACAAGAGGTACTGATGGTAAACGCTCCAGTGAGTAAGCTGGCTGGAGTGGAGATCGAGGGGGCGTGTGGCTAGACTGAGAGCGACAAGGTGGCGATCGGGGTGAGGCTTCGGGGTTGTGAGAAGCACCCGAAGTGCGCGCCCAGAAGGCATAAGCACTGTTGTTTTCTGCAAGGGGAGACGGCACGCTGTGCTTTCTCGGGGAGGATGACAAATAGGAACCACCACCACGAGGTGCTTCCCCTGTAACTCGCTGGTTGGAACTTTCAGGAGGCTTCAGGTATCGATTGTCAAACAACGTCCCTTTCCAAGCGTTGGCACGGGTATCTTGCTCGGTACCGCTTCTCGACCCGGTCCGCATGCGTTCGATCGCCTCTAGCTCCCGTTTCGATAAACGCACGTTCTTCTGGCCCTGAGCCTGCGCGTGTCGTATCCGGTCGAGAGCCTGATCTACCAGTCGCTCCTCCTTGTCCTTCATGGCCAACTGCACTGCATAAGCCACCGTGCTGTCCAAGCTATCCTGTAGGTCATAGTCCATCTCATCGACAGCGGCCATTTCGTCTTCGTAGAACGCGTCATACTCTACCATTCGCCTCCGTCGAATCGATCCTTCATTGATCTCCCGATCCGCTGCCTGCCTTGCCTGTGATATGCGCATATCTTGACGACTGTACATATCGTCATCCTCACTGTCAAGCTCCTCAACCCTTGAGCTCTCATCCACCCACGGAGCCGCACGTCTCCTGGTTTGTCTCCCCACTCGTGCCCGCGGTGGTCTTCCCCATCGGGGCATACCGTAAGGAGTTCGCGGCCGACCACCTAGACCGCCTCCTCGGAAAAAGCATTCTCGATTGGTTTATCCATGAAAGCGGCGTGACCGAAGACGGCCACGCCGGTGGCTCCGATCAACCAGAGCACAGTAGCAATGGGCGAGGCCCAGAATCCTAGGGGAACTGCGACAAGTAGTAGCCCAGTGTACAGCTGGGAGGTGTTGAAGCGGGCAACGCCCAAATCGAGGTCTCGGCCCTGGAGCTTGCCAATTCCGTAAAGACCACCTGTCACGAAGATGATAACAAAGAGCAGGACCGGGTTGGTCAGCAAGCTATAAATGCTAAGCATCACGAAGACGGCAGCATAATTGCTCGAGAAATAAGACAAGTTGTAGTTCACTCGGCTCTGAACCTCGCCAAAGTTGGCGGGCTTTGAGATACGCTTGACATCCAGGAATTCGGAAACAGGACGGAGGTTAGCGAAGCGCGTGCTAAAGGATTGGGAGCGAACACTGTTGAAGCGGTCACCGAACCGCGAGGTGATCGCATCAATAGGAAATTGGAGGGGACTCATGTTGGAAAGTCTAGTGGATGACGACGGAAATGGATGTAGAGAGGAAGGAATAGTAAACACAAACTTAGGTTGGGTAGCAGAATAGAGGTAGCAAAAAGGTGTAGCTCGTGGCGACGACGATGGGCAATAAAGATGGAAGAAGAATTACTTTGGTCAATACGAATGAAACGAGGTAGGCAGGAGATCAAGAGAGAGAAAAGGGGGGAGGGAGGAATGGAGAGAAGTCGGAGCAAGCAGTGGTGAACAGAAAGAGTTTCCGCAACTGAATGACTTGAACTGGCTTAGTTGGCCCAAACGCCCAAGCCCAGTCCTTTTTGGTCACCTCCGGCGTGCGGAAAGCCAACTAAGCATAGACACAGACCACAATAACAGACAAAGTGCTGGGGAGCAAAAGATAAGTCTGTCGAAGCAACCAATGCCTCCCCAACCGGCCAAAACACAAATCCAAACTGGATGGAAAGGGCAGGAGAAAAAATCATATGGATCCGTGAAGTAACTTGTTAGGGGAGAGCACGAAAACAACTGAAGAAGAAAGTTGGAAGAAAGACAGACGGCAGTGGATGCTCTAAGAATAGAAATAGAGAGAAAGAGAGATGCTGGATGCGGCAGCGCAGTGAAGAAGCACAGCAAATGTCGTGTTGACATGCTAAGCAGACCAAGGGCAAATAATCATCCTCTCTTTTGTTCTATTTTTCTTTCTTTCTTTCTTTCTTTCTTCTTCCCTCTTTTCTCTTTGACTGTCTTTTTTGTCTTCGCCTTCAGTCCCTGGTGAGAGGCGGGTTCTCTTTCCGTCCAGGCACCGATAACGTACAGTAGCCGTTCCGTTGCCTCAGGCTGGGAACCTCTGGAGATAAAGAGCATCCGAAGTTAAGTAGTGTAAGGTATCGAAGGAAAAGGAAGGGACCGAGTCTGAATTTAACCCTTCTTATTCCTCCTCTTCCTCTTTCTTTTCCCCTCAGAGCCTAGTCCTTCGGAATCGGAGAACCCTGGCCATAATGCACAGTACATTTATATGTAAACTGGAGTATTCGCACATCAATCACACTTTGATTGTCGCAACTCGCTTCATCACGCGTGGTCTGAAGCGAATTACAGTGCAGTACAGTATTGTACATAGTCATGGATTCTACCTATTTTCTACCTGACAGGTCAGAAGTGATTCAATTCTAATCTTTATTGGTCCACGTCGTGCATAGAAGTGGATTGTTGTTTTATTGGTGTCAAAGCAAACCTGCTGCATACCTCTCGATACATCGTAAGCTAACTTGACTGCGCTCTTTCAGCAGAGGAGAGGAGAAGACGACGAACCTACATTACTACAAGAAACAGTCAGGGCGGTGTGATGCGTGGCCGTTCCAACTTGTGGAGAGGTGTACTACTGTATGTACTGTACTGTATATACATACACAAGTACAGTACAGGAGCAGCGAGAGTAGATGACAGATAAGCCATTGACTCAAATTTTCAATTCCCTTCAACTCATCTCGCTCGGATTCCTACAAGTACGGAGTAAGTCTTCTTGAACTGGGCAGAGCGGTATTGGCCGCCCTATTTTCCCACCATGAAGCCCTTCTCACTCCGTCTGCTATTCTTTGCTGCTCTGTTTGTCCTGTCTGCGGCTTGGACCAAAGAAGGTAAATTCTCTGATTGTATACTACTCAACCTATTGTTCCCTGTTAACATTGACGTCACCTTAGACCACGAGATCTTCCAGCTTCGTGAAGAAGTCATCTCCAAAGAAGGTGCAAATGTGACATTCTACGGTACTCCCTCCGCATTGATTCCCCTTGCTCCTACGCCATCAGTGTTGATTGACCAATCTAATACTTGTGTAGACGTCTTGGGCGTGAAACCGAATGCCAACCAAGACGAATTGACCAAAGCCTACCGTCAGAAGTCAAAGCTCCTCCACCCTGACAAAGTCAGACGATCCTTCATCGCCAACAGCTCTAAGGACAAGTCAAGGGCCAAAACCAACAAGGCAGGTGTCCATGTTAACAAGGGCCCTTCGAAACGTGAGATCGACGCGGCCGTCAAAGAAGCCCATGATCGCGCGGCCCGTCTGAACACTGTTGCCAATATTCTGCGTGGAGCTTCTCGGGAGCGTTATGACCATTTCCTGAAGAATGGTTTTCCGAAGTGGAAGGGTACCGGATACTACTATTCACGATTTCGCCCCGGCTTGGGCTCTGTCCTGGTCGGGCTGTTTCTGGTCTTTGGGGGCGGCGCCCACTATGCTGCACTCGTGCTGAGCTGGAAGCGTCAGCGGGAATTCGTCGATCGGTACATCCGTCAAGCCCGTAGAGCTGCATGGGGCGACGAGTCGGGTGTTCGAGGTATCCCTGGACTGAATGGTGGTGTTGCTGCCGAACCAACCACGCCAACTCCGGAACCTGAGCCCAGTGCCGTGCCAATGAACCGACGCCAGAAGCGCATGATGGAGAGAGAAAACCGCAAAGAGGGCAAGAAAAGTGCTGGTCGAACCAACGGTCGCAGCTCTGGGACTGCAACGCCCACCAATGAGGCCGTGGAGCCCACCGGCGAAAGGAAACGTGTCGTCGCGGAGAATGGAAAAGTTCTCATCGTGGATTCGGTCGGACATGTGTTCCTGGAGGAGGAGACGGAAGATGGAGAACGCCGAGAGTTCCTCCTCGACATCGACGAGATTCCACGCCCTACCTTCCGCGATACAATGGTGTTCCGGATGCCCGGCTGGGTCTACCACAAAACCCTCGGCCGAGTGCTTGGCTCATCCGACGCCATGGGTAGCTATGTCAATGAGCGCGAAGAACTGGCCGAGACAGCGCAAGATATAGTTGAGGATGTGATTAGCTCTGCTACGACTTCCAACAAGGGCGCATCCAGGCGGAGGGCGAAGCGCACACAAAAGACTTAACTTCTTGGACTAAATTTCGAGGGAATGAATCTAAGCCCAACATTCTTGCTTGGATTGTCATTCCGGTCTCGTCATTTTCAGTTGAATAGATGCGCCAATGAATGTATACTTACCATCCGACTTCGGCTGTTTGTATATGAGTGCAAATGCTCTGGAAATCGACTCAGTACAACTTAGTAGTCGCGTTGTTAGTAAGTGGTCTAAGTGCATTCTGTTAATAGATCATTACATAAAAATAAGCAGTATATAATTAATGATGGCTATCCTATGATTGCAGTCGCTACCAAGGAGACTGTCAAAAGTTACAAGCAAACAGCCCGCAATTGCAGATTTCGATCAACATATGGTCATCATCTTCGTAGTCATATCCAGTTGTCTCTAGATGTCCAAAGCTCATCGCAAATTCGGCGAAAGCGCATTGGTGAGTAGACTATACACGTTGGGTCTCATAAACAGTTTGGCGTCGTATCGGAAAGGCAGAGGCTCGAGTTCTAGGAGCTATATGAACATTTTGGCAATGCTGAACAGTCCACTGATATTGTCCGATAGGCCGGCCCCGCCAGGTCGCAGCGCCGACGCTCCGAGGAGGTTCTTTGGCAACCGGATACCGATCATGCCCAATAGCCTTTGCAGGACGCCAGTGGTCAGAAGTGGAATCACCAGCAGCGTCAGGACCTTTATAGGGTGGTCGCGTGCATACTTCCACGCATCGCGAAAGATGCGCTGGATGATGTGAACTATCCGTGCGACGAAACCTTCCCTGGGCCGTGCGCGTCGTGACGACGAGGAGGAGAACACCGATGGGCTGGATCGTCCTGCACGATTGAAACCACTGCCCAGGCTGAAAACCGATGGTGCGGAATGGCGGGCATTGTAGGACGAGTAAGTAGAACGCCGGGAAGGGGAGGAGCATCGACGAGAGTGATGTCTGTGAGTTGACGAGGAGGTCGGGGATTTTCCATCGAACCAGCCCATTGTGGATTATTTTCACTCAGCAATGGGGCCTAGCCAGCAGCCAATGGAGCCTTGAAAAGGTGACTGTGCTCTTTGATCGCACAGACTGTTTGTGAATCTTGACAGTGGTTGATAAGTGGAGGACGTGATGGTGGCTAGATCCGCCGATAATGGGAACAATAATACTAGTTAGGATGAAAGACGAGAACAATCGATCAGCGAGAGGGACGTAGTGCCCTCGAGGACAGGAATGTGTTCTTTCTGAGATCGGATCGACAAGAGGGCGAGAGTCAATTGGGACTAGTCAGCTGCAGATGCACGAGTGTAGTTGGCCCGGCCCCCAATGGCTCGCTCCAAGTTACTACCTAAGTATTAAATTCTAAGCGATCGTGGTCGCGATTATGAAGCTGATCTTGTCAGCGTAGACAAGACTGGGATCTAGGTATGAGTAGGATAGGATGCCTTGAGAATCTTGTCATGTTCAATCTATGTGAAGTAGCAAAAGGCTGCCAAGATGCGAGTATGACTTTGGTGTAATTGAAGAATGTTTTAAAGCACTGTACTGTACCTAGGCATATTTAAAGCAGGAACCTGCGCTCAAAAGTCAAGCTTGAGAAGGGCAAGTCCGTCAGGGGCCGGGTTCCCCGTAGCCGTGGGCCGTTCCTGGTACTAACTTACATAGTATTATGCGTATGTACAGTACAGTACAGTCAGTACATGACAGTACCTACAAGGAGAAGTTAAGTTAGATAAGCCGGCTCAGCTCTCGCTGCCTTACACAAGAAGCTCAGGCACTCACTCTAACGGCTGTCGACGTCATGGTCGGGGGCGGTTGACTCTTTCGTCGATTCGACCACTTCAGCAACCACTTTTGCCTCAAGTCCACAAACATAGCTCTTAGCGCGGAATAAGTTGGTGACATTCATTTACTAAATTGAATCCCTCTTGAGCAAACTGACTGTATCAAATTATGGCGAGTGAGTGCATCTCAACAGATTTCGGCACAGATTCGAGCAGAACGCATACTCACTTTTTCTTCTAGGACAGAAAGACCTTTGTAAGAGGGCCACCGCGACTATGAAGACACACTGCTAGCAGACTGACTTCCTCATTTATGCAGATAAGGTTCTTGGGGTATCTCCTAAAGCAACCCAGCAAGAAATTCGCAATGCATACAAAAGGTGCGGCACGTTACTGATTTGTTTAGAGTCAGCACAACACTGAGACATCTACAGAGAGTCACTGAAGTCGCACCCCGACCGAGTGCCTGCCGGTTCGCCTGAGAGGCCAGCTCGGACTCGTAGGTTCCAAGAAATCAACGATGCTTATTATACGTTATCGGACATATCACGCCGGCGCGATTACGATGTGACACGATTGGCAGATGGGGTGGATGAAGAATATGATATACCTCAAGGAGGTGCCGGTGGTTTCCCATGGTCCGCTTTCGGCTTCGGTTCCGCTACTGATAGAGAGCAACGGGCATCGGAGCAATTTGGGTCTGTCTTTGAGGAGATGCTACGCGAAGAGGGTCTTGCGAGTGAAGACACCGATGCTGATGGCCGCACGCAAACCCGTCCTACGTCACGCTTCTGGTCCATTGTTGGCGGTGTTAGTGGCGGCGCACTGGGGTTCATCATTGGTAATGCTCCCGGGGCGTTGGCTGGAGCTGTCGCGGGTAATCGACTGGGAGCGGTACGTGACGCAAAGGGAAAGAGTGTCTACGAGGTCTTTCTGGAGCTGCCTCAAACCGACCGTGCTCGGCTGTTGAGTGAGTTGGCGGCCAAGGTATTCCAGACTACAATGGGCCATTGAGAACATTGACATGTGACAATGCAGAGTGGGATACTCATTCCTGTGTGCAGCAGTCATGTGCCCTCTTAGACTTATTCATTCTTCCTCTGGTGTCAATGTGGGTAATAGTGTCTTGGTTTTTGGGTACTTCAAGTCTACGATTATATTCGCTACAGTTTTTCTCTCAATGCTGCTTAGGCACCACGTAGAGCGCCCAAGAATTATTGTATATTTGAAATGTGAGACTATCTGTCTCCATCTGCCCTTGCTGGTCAATGCAGCAGCAATGAGACTGGATAAAGCAACCTACAGTGCGTAGGTCATCGAAGCTGTGGGACTTATCAAGGTTATCGATAAGCCATCGGGACCCACGTGGATAGACTGTCGCGACCTCGACTGTCTTCACACAATGCAGCCTTGATGCCTGAGCTAGACCCCGCTATCACCTCCCCACTTCACCGCATGCGTCCTCCCCCCCCTGAATTCGACCATTTCCGCCGTCTTGTCGTTCTCGAGTGGCTATTGAAAGTCTCCCTTTCTTCTCCTCGCTTTTCACACCAAGTTCACAAACAGGATCTCTCAATTGTGTTTGGCGTTTGGCATCATGGCTGAAGGCGCAAGCGTGTATCCATCTTTGCCGAATCGGCCTTTACAGGGGACCATTTGTCTTTTCGATGTCGACAACACACTGTCCCTCCCGAGAAGGGTGAGCTACTCCCTCAATCTCAGAAGTTGTGAACTTGGATCAATTGATCTGGCTGTCTTTGATGTCAAGCAGCCGAGAGACTAATAATTGATCGCTTGTGACCAGGGTGCCACTCCAGAAATGCTGGAACTCCTCTCTCGACTTCGCCACAAGTGTGCTATCGGATATGTCAGTTCTTAAAATGGAAACTTGACTCCAGCGATCTAATAATGCCTAGGTTGGTGGATCGGATTTCGCCAAGCAGCAAGAACAACTTGGCTCAGCTACAACAAACGTCACATCCCTCTTTGACTTTTGCTTCCCTGAGAACGGTTTGACTGCTTTCCGTCTGGGACAGCCACTCGCTGGAACCAGCTTCATTGAGTGGATTGGAGAGGAGAGATACCAGGAGCTGGTCAACTTCTGCCTTAAATACATCGCGGACTTGAAGATTCCTAAGAAGCGTGGTACCTTCATCGAGTTTCGCAACGGAATGATTAATGTCAGCCCTATTGGCAGAAACGCTAGCTTCGACGAGAGAAATGAGTTCCAAGCGTGTGTCTCCACTCTGGCCTAACGGTCTGCATGCGACTCGAGCTTGACTGACTAATGTCCTCTCTACAGATATGATGATGTGCACCATATCCGTCGAGACTTGGTAGAAGCTCTCAAGAAGAAGTTCCCTGATTGGGGTCTCACGTGAGTCCTGGGATAGGCACCCTAACACATCCTGTACTCCCTTGTTTCTAATCACACTGTGGACTTAGCTACTCGATTGGCGGCCAGATCTCGTTCGATGTTTTTCCAACTGGCTGGGACAAAACCTACTGCCTGAAGCACGTCGCCGCTGAGAAGGAGATATCTGGCGTGGAGTACAAGACGATTCACTTCTTTGGAGACAAATGCTTTGAGGGAGGCAACGACTACGAGATTTACAGCGACCCTAGGACAATCGGTCATGCCGTACAAAACCCCGATGACACCATGAAGTTATTAAAAGAGCTGTTCGAGCTATAGATGGGCTGAAGAAGCGCTATAGTCCGGTTTTCTCTTGGAAAGTGATTTATTTGGATTGGGGTGAAAGTGGGATACCTAAGCTTGCGTTGGGTACCGAGGAAAATATACTAATTGGTTCAGAGGCATGAGTGCAAAAGACAATTTGTACTGTAGATGGTTACTATGTGAAGTATAATTGAAACCAGTCACGGTTTTATTGTAAATTATGTATATATGTGTATCTATTTCGACTCATGAAGGAACGTGCAGACACGCACACGCTTCTAGGAGCCGGGAAAGCCCGGGGTTCTGGTATCTTGCGTAAGACCCCAGAATGCCGTTGAAGGTGTAAATGGCAGCAATCACATGCGGACAATGCAAGCAAGGCCCGTCGTCCCCGACTTCGGGGTTTAGTCATCGTCAACCGGCACCTCATCAGGCACCATCCTTCTTCACCCAGATCAGGCTCAGGCTCAGGCTCTTCTGCCACGCGCTTTTGTGTGGCCATCACTTCTTTTGGTATCGCATAACTCCGTGCCAGTAATGGCGTCTCAAAAGACAGTTGCGGAGGTGCCCCGTTCCATCCTTCCCCGTCTTACATGGAACGGCTCTTCTGCTCGGACGACTATTGCACCTCCGACCACTCTTCCAGCAGCGCGCCAACAGAAGCAGCAATTGACACGCTTTTGGAACCAGGCTGGACGGCAGTTACACAGTCTAGCTAGCCTCTCTTCTTCCTCCCTAAGTCATTCCGCCACACCCCGAGACACTGGTGCTTCGTCGGCGATCGCAAAGCGGTTCGCCTTGGCCCGCCACACCACCAGCCCTCCCGATGTACAAGGCCTCGGCCATCCTATCCGCTATGACGGTGTCTATGTCGCCGCCTTCAAGCCTGCTCGACGTGCTTTCCATGCTTCCACAGTCCGCCAACGAGATCACCATTTCGATACTCTGAAGTTCGTACAGCGGTTAAAGGATGAAGGGTTCAGTGAGGAGCAGGCCGTCGCCATGATGAGAGTTTTGAATGATATCATCGAAGAGTCGATCCAAAATCTTACCCGTACAATGGTTCTAAGAGAAGGTAGGGATATATCGCAGAATGATGTAGATCACTAGGTTGCTTATACCTTGTCGTCGTCCAGACACCGAACGATCAGCATATACACAAAAAGTCGACTTCGCCAAGCTCCGCTCCGAATTGCTAAATGCAGACTCGACCGAAGCGCAACTGACGCGCTCATCGCACGAGAAGATTGCTGCAGACCTTGCCAAACTCAACTCGCGCCTCCGCGACGAGATTGGACGCACACAGGCGTCCGTGCGCCTGGATTTGAACCTCGAGAAAGGCAGGATTCGTGAAGAAGCGAATGGACAGGAAATGCGTATCAAGGAGACAGAAACACGGATCGAGCAGGAAGTTGCCGGCTTAAGGGAGCGTGTGGAAGCAGTTAAGTTTTCCACTCTACAATGGCTCATGTAAGATCTCGTGATTCTTTGCTGCAGGAAGTATGGTATACTGACATATGTGCTCTAGGGGTGTCTGCACCGGTACCGCTGCACTCATTCTGGGTGCCTGGCGTCTTTTCATGTGAGAATTTTAGCGCACTTGGAGGATTACATTACTGCAGCCTCAAAATCTGTATTATAGCAACTATTTGTTCACCATGTCTTGTTTCATGAGCATGTTGGACCTCTACAGCGGCGTCTATCAGAGATTCCCTGGAAAACACCGCTCTCACTCTCGTCCACTAATACAAGACAACCATGCTCGAAAACAACTACCCTAGTGATCCATCCAGTTTCCAAGTGTGTTAACCTGAATAGCTCTGGTTCAGCCCCAAGTGACTTTTGTCAAGACTGGCAATTTGTTAAGCTCAGGGCTCCAACCAATAGTGATGACGAAGGCGATAGTATTAAGAGGGAAAGCTAGTAGGATCTAGAGGCAATAGGTTTGGAGACGCGGGTGTGCCTATTAGCAAACTCGCGATGCTTGAGTGCCTCCCTCCTCGATTGTTCAACAGTCATTGTTGTGGAAGTTGGACTGGATGCTCGGTAGTAACCTGGGAAGTACACCAAGACGCAGTACAATACTACGGCTTGGAAAGAATCCACTAATATGCATGGTCGGTGGCTAATAGATCTATCTGTCTTGTCAAAGTCATGAGGCTACCGCACAACTACGCTTTACATAAGCGTGTAAACAAACCAGCTCGTCTGTGACATGGGAGGACTTGATATTGACACGTCGACAGCAGAACCAGCGAAAATGAGGCGGTTGGGTACTTCATTGCTGCAAGCCTGGGCTCATAAATGCCCCACATTTGAGGGGATTGCTGTTAAATCTGCGACATGGTACTGTTGATTGCTCCACTCTAGATGCAGTACTGAATCGGGACACCACCACATATCAGGCCCCGAAATCTGAAGATTGCTTGTTCATCCACGACATTCAGAACTTTCAAACCGGCTGGGTCAAGACCATGACGGCAAGGTTACGAATTCATTAACGCCACACTTCTCTGCTCAGCGGCCTCGCCTCTCAAGAACCTCGCGACTTCACCTGCGGCATCCATGTGGGTACTGTTGGCTTTCCTGAAAAGGCATCGCCATAGATCGTCTTCCTGGACAAGTTCACCACCCAAGGGGCCGCTCGCCATCATTTTGAAAAGCGGCGCATCCTGAATCTCAAGAGAATTTGCCGCATCAATTGCTGTCTCGGTAAGCGTGGTGCTTGCAGTCTCTTGAGCGCCATTTACTAGAAACTCTGATGATCTGTCCTCTTGCCGTTCCTCCTTTTGCATGATATGGGCTAGACGACGCGATACAGACAGATCGTAGATCGACTCCTCAACAGTGTCAGAGACCAGATACATCCAGACGGTTGTTGGCCGATGCTGGCCTATGCGATGCACGCGAGCAATGGCCTGAAGCTCGATTGCAGTATTGATCAAGGGTTCACAAAATATGACATTTGTCGCACAAATAAGATTAAGTCCAGATGAGTGGGCTCGGGCGTGCAGGAGAAAGCATTCCAGCTAGATACAGGCGACTGTCAGCATTAAGATTCTGAAATTCATAGTGTTGCGTACAACTCAGGTATGGCTCTCACCGCAGGGTCACTCTTGAAATTTTGTATGCCATCTTTGCTGTCAACACTGCTGAACCCAATCTTGAACCGGGATAAGGCAGATGCTAGAGTTTCAAGGAAGTTCTTGTACTGGGAAAACACTACCGACTTAGCCCCAGGATCGTGCTCACGGAGCCACAATATGTGACGAGCCAGAGTATCGATCTTAGTGCCAAAAGAAGAATTCAAATCAATATTCTTGATCTCGTTCAGTGTGCTCGAACTGATATCATGGTATATTGAGTTTGTGGAAGACGGTCGTTCAGACATGGCCTTGGTCGGTGCCTTTTCTTCTTGCACAACATAATCCTGAGGCTTGTATGTGATCTGATGGAAATCGTTCGCTTTCAGCCTTCGTTTACATGTAGGACAAGTCCGATGCTGACGCCACCATATGCCCAAACAATGCTGACAATAGTGATGGCCACATACAGTCAAAACACCTTATTGATGTAAGCAAAACATGGCTCAACTAGCCAGAGGATGCCGCAACTCACCAATCTCAAAGCCTGATTGGCATATCACGCATATTCTGGTGGACTCATCCACGCTCGGTTCGTCTCGAAGATGGATTAAATAGCGGTGCTTTGCGCGCAAAGCCGATATTCTTCCATCGATAACGTTCTCTTGAGAGAGCTTCGCCTCGAAAATGGCCTCATCTAAAGGCTTTCCGACGCTCTCCTCGTCAAACGGAGCCACGGTGTCAGAGATTTGCTGTAATTGGCGATAGTACTCAAGACGATTATTCATCGTGTCCCGGAACATTTCAACCTCTCTCTCGAGGCTTGAAATAACCTTGGAATGTTCTGCAGCCATAGCACTGGCATTTTTCAACACCAGACTGGCGATTTCCATTTCGGCCCGAGCCCGAGCGCTTCCCTCAGTTGCCTGCCATTCAAGGGATGTGGTCAAGCTGCGAAGCTCACTGATAATACCACGAAGAGAGCCCAATTGAGCATCCGGCTTCATACGACTTCGCATGTTCATGATATTCAGAAACAGCTCTGGTGAAGGGCCCTCGCCCTTCTGGGCCTGAGCAACTCCGCCTTTGACTTCATGAGCAATAAGCACGTTCCTCTGTCCAGTAAGACAGTCGTGGCGATCAGCGAACATGGCGCGTAGTGCCTCCATATAAACATACATTTCATCTTGATGTTTGGTAGATCTTTCGTATTCGTTCCCTTGAAGCTCCGATTCATCCTCCTGGTCAATGAGCGACTGGGAAAGAAGATGAACCATGGTTCGACGCCACTCGTCGTATTGTGCAGCATGTTTATTCATAGCCTCGCAAAAGTCTTCGAATTTCTCGAGCACACGGCGAGCCTCTACGCCTGTGTTATATATATGAGGTTTCATCTTAGGTATGACCACATATCGCTTGTTGCGCAGCATCTCCCTGATTATTCTCATGTGATTTCCTACCTTCTTAGACACATCCGTCAAAATTTCCTTCCGGATGGACTTAGCAGTGGCGTACGCCTCCTCTTCCCGTTGCTCGAGAGATTTGAATTCATCAGAGTCAGGGTCAGTGAGCTTGAGATCCGATTTGATCTGATAGTACGCATTGCCCATGAAGAATACACCCATATGCTGGACCTCAAGAGCAGTGCGGAGCCTCTGTCGGTAGGTGCCAATGCGATTACTCTTGTCCAAATCTTCACTCTCGTCATTGGTTGCCAGGTCATTCGATGCCGATTCTTGACTAGTGCCAACGTTCGATACCCGAAGTCTCTCGATCTCTGTTTGAAGTCGAACTCGACAATCGTTGACGATTGCACTCGCTCTCTCAAAGCAAGTCCTCCAAAGCTCAAGTGCTTCTCGTTTGCGCAAAGCATTCTCCAGCAATTGCCCACGGCGCATTCGCAATAAGAGACGTTCACGTTCTTGAGCGTGTATTCTCACGTCGTTTTCATCAATCATAACCTCCAAAACTTCTTGGACTGAGCGTAACGGACCGTTAGACCCAGCGGTAAATCCTCGACCCCGATTGGGATGAAGACACGTCTGGCGAAGCCTGGCAAGCCAGCTCCTCATTTTCTCGATGACTGATGAGTCATTAGGATCCCAGTAATCATGGATAGGTGCGCCTGAAATATCAAGCCCACACTCTTCACACATTTGCTCATATAGCTGCCTGTAATGTTGCTCTTCGACTGCAGTGAAAGGTATTGTGATAACAACCCTTTTCTGAGGTGGTATGCGGAGCTCCCCTCGAATGCGATCTTTGCTATTCCTCAGAGCAATAGTTTGAATGATACACGCCAGAACAGGGCGAAATGACCGGCATAACCTATTCCAAATAGAACCACAGAAAGGATCATAGCGCAGAAATAGAAGAAGGCCGAGAAGGTCTGTGATGTCCTTGCGGATAGGGGTCCCGGTCACAGCCCAGGCCAATTGGCGCGGGATCAAACGAGCAACTTTGGCTGCATTACTGACGCCACTCTCTATCATCTGGGCTTCATCCAGACAAACTCGCCACCAATGAATCTGAACAAGAGGCGTCTTCCGTGGCTCGAACCTTTTTTCATGCCGAAGATTTCGCTGCGGAGCATTTCCAGAGTAATGAATCTCTCGAGCAAGAACATTATAGGTCGTGAGGACGACATCGTGATCAGCCACCATATCAACCAAACCACGCTCTGATATTTCGTGGTGACGATTAATACCCTCATAGTGGAAAACACGAAGACTCGGAGCGTGTAGCAAAATCTCCTCCCTCCACTGGTCGAGAATCGCAGGTGGCGTTATAATCAGAGTGGCACGGGAGGGTCTCAAGCCACCAGTGGGGCTTGGACATTGGGTCTCAGGTAGTAATTCTCGACGGTGAAGGCACATTAGACTGATCATTTCGACCGTCTTACCCAGGCCCATTTCTTCAGCCAGGATACCGCCCCGTAAGACTGTCCTCTGTGCAGAGATATTTGTAGTCACAATCATGAGGAGATGGCTCGCATAACAGCACTTCCCATCCGCATCTGTGATACGAATGAAGGAAGCTGGTAAATCACTATCTGAATCCACCTCGATAGGTATTACCTGTCCATCGGGGCATAATTTGACGCCCTCCCTCTGTAAGAGCCACCTGACGGTCCGTCTCTGAAAGGGGAAGAGCTGACACTCTGTCAGGGCGCATTTAATCTCGGCCGAGCCGGTGAGCGTATCAGGTGGTACATGAACGTTTTCGTAAAAATCGCGTGGTGACCAACTCGCCCTCTGTCCTTCAAATCTTCGGGTGGGTGCTGTGTGCTCCATGAGCGAACCGTCACTCTCTCTCAGAACATACTTCGAAAAGACCCTGGATGAGGCAGGCAATAGACTTCTGGCATCTAGGATATCTGTCGAGTCCTTCCAAAGGATGACAATCTCCAGTCTGAAATTATTCCCATCAGGGAGCCGATGCAAGGTTGCCTGGTAGCACACAGACGGCGCACTCTTAACAAATCGATCGGCGCAGGGCAAGCT